GGTAACTCAGATTGGCTATGTAAGTTTCCCAAATTCATCACCTAATTATGAGGTCCTCAATTTACACCATGAAGACTTGTTAACTGACTGAAGGATTAAAGAAACTTACATTATCTTTTGAAACCATATTCCCAGATGCCAGTGTAAAGATGAAGTGCATTTTATGAAACAAAGGCCTCAAAATAATGTATCATAAGTTGGTATAACTGAGCAATGATAGGAAAATACAGAGCCATTGAAATGTTACTTGTGGGTTCAGAAAGTATCAAAACTATTTCCTATTTTCCCCATGCATAGCTTTTGCACAAAAGACTTGAAAATACAGGGTCAGGTGACAACAAGTTTTACTTTGGCAGAAAAGTTTAGAGGGAGAGGGTGACTCATACAAGAACCACATTACTTTAATGTCTAGTCTGCTCTAAAAGAGCGCAAAAGGATCCAAAACTGATTTACTTAATGTGGAAACATACAAAGGAATTTTTTTAAGGTTAGAAGTCATTCCTCAAATTGAAGTGTACTGTTAGCCCAGGTATATGAACTTCTCAGTTCTGCCTTTACATGTAGTTCTCCATTTCAGGTAACTCTCCTAGATACTTGGGGTCATCTCCAGTGGTCCTGATGAATATCTAGCCACTGGACCCAGATGGCTCTGGAGGAGAAAGGGAAGCTGGTGACCTTGCACAGCCCTCCCTCAAATCAAGGTAAATTGCAAGTCACTGTCATCATCTCCCTCATGGTCCTTTTCAAGAAGGAAGCACAAATACAACAATCTAGATACTTAATTTGTAGAGCACTTTAAGGCTTACAAAGCACTTTACAGAAGGAGGCTAGAAAGGTTAAGTGACTTATCCAGGGTCACACAGCTTCTCAGGGTTTGAGATAGGATTTCAACTCTGGTCTTCCTCACTCTAAGTCAATACCTTATCCACTCTTTGCTCACTTACAAAATTGGGATAATAATTAAGTTACCTCATAGGGCTGTTAGTCGTGAGAATCAAATAAGATTACACACACAGTATCTGTAAATGTAAGCAGTTGGGGGGAGGGCCCTTCATATAGTTTAGAGGGCAATGAAGGTGGAAAGTGAGGGATGTTCTGATTCCCTCTAGGATCCTTCTGCCTCTTCCTTTGTTTAGTATTTAAAAGCTCTTCACAATCTGATTCTAGCTTACCTTTCTGACCTCATTGAACATTACTTCCCTTCACAAAGTCTTATTTTCCAGTTAAATTGGCCTACTTTGCCCCTGAACTCAGCATTCTGTGTCTCACTGCTAAGATTCTGAACAGGCTGGTCTCCATGTCTGGAATATACTCCTCACTTCTGTCTCTTAAAATCTTTGAGCTCAGCTCGAGTCATCTCCTACTGGAAGACTTAGTTATTCTTACTTTCTTCTTCCTCAAATTATCTTGTCAATATCCTTAGAACTTAGTACAGTGCCTTGTACAGAATCAGGACTTAATAACTACTTATTGGGTTGGCTCGTCTATTCAAATGTAAATTATCATATTCATTATTTTTGTACCTTCAAGCTGTAGGAAATGTGTAGAAGACATCTGTGGCATGATGATATTGAATTCAGCTGTAGATTATAAGTAGTTTCATTGTGTTACTCTGAGATCAAACCAAAGGAACATTATGAAGATCCTGAATGCCTTACTGAAGTCAACTGTACATTTATTAAGCATTTAATATGTGCCAGGCACTATGGTTAAGTGTTGGGAACAAAAAGAAAAGCAAAAAAGTCTTGTCCTTAATGAAGGCTACATATAAATAAGTAGGCATATATAGTAATCGAAGGTAATATGAAAGGAAAATAGCTAGGGGAAGGGGTAGACCAGTCAAGTCTCTCATAGGTGGGATTTGAGATTATTTTAAAGCTACGAATCCTGCAGGGGGTAGGGAAGGATAGCTGTTGTGTCTTTTCACCACCTGACTCTTCATGACCCCACATGGGGTTTTCTTGGCAAAGATAATGGAGTAGTTTGCCATTTCCTTTTCCAGCTCATTTTATAGATGAGAAATATGAGGCAAGGAGGGTTAAATGATGCCCAGGGTCACACAGCTAATACGTATCTGAAGCAGGATTTGAACTCGAGATTAGTCTTCCTGACTGTAGGCCCAGCCTGTAAGAGAATAATAGAAACAGAGCATCCAGAAGAGGAGGGGTAATATTCCTACTGCAGTCTGTACTAGTTAAATTATATCTAGAACATTTTGTTCTTCTGGGAACCTCATTTTAGAGATGTCAACAAACTGGAATCCCTTCAGAGAATTCCTAAAATGGTAAAGATGAAAACCATATCATGTGAGGAAAAGTTGAATGAATTGGGGATATTTAACCTGGAAGAGAAAACTTGATGTATGTATGGAGAGAATAACTGTCTTCAATAATCAGAAAAGTATTCATGTTAAAGAGGAATGAAACTTATTGCCAATCCTTCAGAGGACAAAAATAGGATTAATGGGTTAAGTAACAGAAATGACACGGAGATAGATTCAGTTCAATACGAAGAATTTCCTAACAAATACAACTGTCTTAATAATTGATTGGGCTCCTTATCGAGATAGTGGGTTCTCTTACTGGAAGTCTGATGGATGGCTACCATCAGTACATGAATTAGAGGAGGTCTGTATACAGGCTTCCATATCCTGAGTTGGGTGGGAGGCTGAAGTAGATTACCTCTTAGGTCCCTTTGCAACATGATGATCCTAAACATTTTATGTTTTCCTCCAAGTTTGATGCAAATCTTAAACAAAACATGACACTGTACAGTAATATGTTAAGACCTCCTTCCATGCTGACATCAATCAATAACAATATGTAGTTTTAAAAAATGCTACAAAATCACTTAATTGTACAATAATCGGGTCCACATTTTTCCATCTTGTCTATAAGAAAATAACCTAAAAATAGGGTACAAAGAGATTTTGTCTACATGCTTTACTGAAACTACGACATACTATGGTCATGGCACTCTAATCATTACAAAGTCATTTGGCACTATTTTCAGTGTTGGTTCCTTGCTATTTTTGCTTTTCAAATAATATTTTAAATAATGTTTTGTCTCATGGAATTCTGAATGTTTTGCATTACATCTATGGAGAGATGAATTCAACCTAAGCCCTACAATCCTATGTGGCCACAGGCACTCCTAATATCCAGAAGATATTCTTTTGAAAACTAAGCTGTCTGAATGAAAGAGAAAAAGGGAGAAAAATAAAGCAGGAGAAGAAGTAGTGTTATTTATGTGTCCTGTCCTGCCTATGTGGAGAGCAAATGCCTTCTAAGGGGAAAACTTAAATGTTTTAGCACTTTTTCTTTTCGCTTTGCCATTTATTTTCTCAATCTAGACAACTAGGAAGTTGAGTCTTGGTTGCGGATGAATGGGAGAAAAAAAAAAGCAACACTGGATTCTATCATGGGTTGCCACAATCTTTTCACTTAACATTTTCTTTCCCACTCTGCTTCCCTTCTTCACTCTTGTCTTGGTTTTCATCCCATTTCTCTCTTCCTGTTCCCTTCTTTATACTGTTAGTATCTCAGAGCTAGAAGGAATTTTAAAAGTCATCAACCTAATTAAGTCAATCGTGTCAATTTACAGATGAGGAGACTAAGGTACCGAAAATGTAAGTGACTTGCCCAAGACAAAAAGTGGCAGAGTTAGGATTTGAACACAGACACATCGCTCCTTTCAATGAACCACACTGTCTATACTTCTTCAAAACACTCAAAACATACTTGATGTGAATTACCCAGGTACTTCAAGGATTTGTGATTTTGCTGACCTGGGTGGACCCTTCACCAACTCTCCTACACTTAGTGGCTGAAACAAAACAACTGGCAAGCAAATGAGTAAAGACTTCCGGAAGTCCACTGACAAGGCGGGTTTGAAGGCTTTCCTGCTCGGTAGGACCCTCGAGAGCTTGCTTTCTCCTGGCACTGCCTGTGAAGAATCTCCTTATCAAGGCGAAGCACAGCAATTGACCATCGATCAGTATGTACTTGATTTGATTTAGCACTAAATTTTAAATAAATTCTTGTTGATCGATTGATCAAACGAACCAAACTGCTAAACTTCCCTAAATGTAATGAATTTTGCAAATCTGAGCGCGCCGTATTAAGCTAAGCTATTGCTGTTACCGGGTGGACACCACCTGTAGGGGCTCTAAAATCTAATTTTAAGCCTTCTGAGGGCTCATGTGCATTTCTCTTGCAGCCGGCCAAGCATCCTCCCAAGAACAAAGCAGTCATCGCACCAAGAAAGCTTTCTGAGGAGGCCTTGTTCACAGCCCAGTCACTGGGCGCCATGGGAAGCGGACAGCGGGCACAGGGGGCAGCGCGCGGGCAGCGGCAGCAGCACTGGCAGCACACTTCCGGCAGCTGCAGGGTCGGCGGCGGCGGCAGCTTCACGCTTGGGCCACCGGGGCGGGTAAGGTGTGAACCTGAGGAGCTGGGCGGGCACCTTTGCCGGAGCTCCCCTCGATTTACAAAGAAAGGGAAAGGCTCGGCTGCCCTCGGTCACCGGGCTGCCCTCCCGGCCGACGGTGCGACGCCCCCGTGGAGCTCGCTGCGAGCCGACCTTGGGGGAATTCCTCTTGGGCCTGGGCCTGGGGACGTTATCCCTGGACACCAGCCCCGAAGGCCGCACGCCTCGTCCCGGGGCTCTGTGGAACTGACTGCTGGCCACACATCCTTCGCCTCGGTCGCTGTGGGGTTGTAACTGCAAGAGCAGGGCCATCTTGTAATTACGGTGTTACCCGGGAAGGGGCTTGGTCACGTTGCGTCGCCCCCTCGACCGCCCGCCGGCTCTCGGCTCCAGGCAGCTTCGCTAGGCCTTGGTAACCGACCACGTTGCCATGGTTAAAAGTGATTGTTCCTCGAGAATCTCCCGTTAAGGGAAAGGTTCGAGTAGGGAGCATGCGCACTCGCATCCTGACGTACGTCGATGTGTGTCCGCGACAGGGGGCGTGGTCTTTGTCGGAGCGGGAGGGGGAAAGCCGGAGGAACAACTTTCCGGGCGTGCGCAGTCCACCCGGCGACGGCGATTCTGTCCTAGCAGTGGGGCCTGCGGATGCGGAGATGGGCGCCGCTACTGCCGAAGCGGATCGGACTCTGTTTGTGGGCAACCTCGACATTAAAGTGACGGAGGAGCTGCTCTTCGAGCTTTTCCACCAGGTAAGGGGCTGGGATCAGCCCCCTTACCCTGCTCTTTCGCTTTCCCCGCCCCTCGCCCGCGAAGGCCTCAGCCCTACGGTCTTGGCTGGCGCCGCCTTCGCGCGTGCGTACTGGGGGCCTTTTGACCCGAGGTGGGGAGGGTCGGGGTGTCTTGGCCTTGAGCCAGAAAGAAGTCTTGCCTTTGATTTCTAAAGGGTGGGAGCAGCGTCCTAAAGAGTGAAGTTCTCGGGAATTGTGCTAGGGGTAGGGGGGATGGCATAGAGCCGCTGTTTTAAGGAGCTAGAGGGACCTCGAACTTTGATCCCGGCGGAAAAGACCCACGCCTGTCGGTCATGACCCTCCGGGGTTTTTGGTCTTTGACCACCTGTTAACCAATAAGATTGGACTTTTTAAAAGTTTCTTCGTTCGGTAGCTGCTTCACTTCTCACTTGGTTTGCTTGCACCTCCCAAGGGGCGTGTGGTGGAGTGGGGAAGAGAGCACTGGACATGAAGTCCTGGGAGGCCTAGGATTGAATTTTAACTCGAGTGCTTATTAAGCCCTGTAATTGCAGGCAGTTCTCCTAACCTTAGTTTCCTCATCCGAAAAATGGGGATAATAATATGAATGGTTGTGAGGAAGGTGCTTTGTAACCGTTTTAAGGTGGCTACATAGATGCAGGTTTTGTTACAGCTAGCCAAAATCCTTTTCCGATAATGGGAAGTTACAACCTATGCCGGTTAATAAAAGTTTGGACTATGAGGTACAAGCGTAGAAATTTTATTTTGAAATCACATCACTTATTGCCTCCTCTGGAAACTTATTATCATGTTTTGCATTCCAAGGATCATTAACTTAAAGAACGCATACTAGAGGTATCTAGAGTCCAATACCTTCATTTTTACAGATGAGGAAACAGGCCCTGAGAGGTTAAGTGACGTAAGAGGTTAAGTCACACAGGTAGTAAGCAGCTGAGCTGGAATTCAAATCCAGGTCCTCTGACTACGAATCCAGTATTTCTTCCACAACACTGCTTTGAGGTACTGGATATTTAAACCCCTCTAGAGGCAAACTGTACTTTCCACTAGCAACACTAAGTGGAGTAAGCTATAATGCATTGATGGGTTTTCTGTGTGAGCCCCTCCAAATGAATTAGCTTTCTTTGTAGTAATAATCATGAGTTCTCCCCGCAGTTGAAATGCATGTGCTATATATTTTTTATATGGATAGAAATGGTTACGTAAGCATTTTCTTCCATTTTTAAAATTTACTTTATTTTTGTTCTTTACAACAGAAACATTTTTCAGAAGTTGCTTCATTTAACTTTAACTTTATTTTATTTTATTATATTTTTTTATTTGCAGGCAGGTCCTGTAATAAAAGTTAAAATTCCAAAGGATAAAGATGGTAAACCAAAGCAGTTTGCATTTGTGAATTTCAAACATGAAGAATCTGTTCCTTATGGAATGAATCTACTTAATGGAATAAAACTTTTTGGAAGGCCCATCAAAATTCAGTTCAGATCAGGTATCTGTTAAATTTTATAGAATTTATTTTTAGGCAGAATAAAACAAATTTCATCTCATCTTTACAGTAGTGAAATTTAGAATTCCTAAGTAATGAGGGACAGTGACAACACAGATGATTAATATTATCTGTAATACTAAAAACTCAATTTATTCCTTTTCTTTAATAATGTTCTTAAAGATAAGAATTTCCCTTTGGTAGGAAAGCAAATGAACAAAGAAGTGTCAAAAAGACTTTAATAGTCAACCCTTGACTGATATTTCTATGAGTAGTCCTTCCAGACCTTAATCTTGTCTTTAGTGGCCATCCTGTGATTATGAGCTTCTTCTGCAAATCTAGTTTAGATTACGTAGGCATGTAGAATTCCTCCAATCCAGACATAAGATGTTCCCTGCCTGTATTTGAACCCTTTCCATTTTATAGCTCTCATTGAGGTCTTAGAACTGGAAGGGACATCAGAGAGCATCTAGTCTAACTCTCATTTTTTGGATGAGGGAACAAACTCCTGGCAAAGTTTTTATATTCATTTCTAATCCATGATGAGACATTAGTCTTAGGGCTTCAGTGAAGACAGTGACGATATCTAAATTAATTTGTGTGCTCTTTTCCTTTTATTCTTGAGTCGATGGGAAGCTTTAAATGTATTCTCTTGGAACTGCTTTTTCATATTGTTCATTTTTCTTTGTAATTTGTTCATATAGGTCACCCAAATTTCATGTTGGTATTTTGCATGCTACTTTTTCTACCAGCTGGTGTAGGAAAACATGAGTACCTCTTTTATTAAGAAATCTAGATTTTTATTTAAGTTCTCTTAACTTTAAGTGGTTGCATGTCTTTTCTTTGAAGGGAAAGAATCATCTTCAGGAAATTACTCTTTCTGGGCTTTATTTCTTTCCACAATTTATTTTTACAAATTATAATTGCTGGAGCTAGTAAGGAAGAACTTTTAGCTAATTGCTCTTATGTCTGCTTTGGCAATTGGAATATTGCAGTTTGATTGCATCTTTACCCACTGGGTATTAGTGTTATGTGTAACATTTTGTTTTGTTAATCTATTTCTTACTCTGATGAAACAGTAGAGTAGAATATTGAAATGCAAATTATTTCTAGTTTCTGAGATATTAAGGTTATACCAAACTTAACTTTTTGAAGTTGGATGACCTTGGAAAAAAAAAACCAAATTTCAAATATGTTTTCTTCAGGAAGTAGTCATGCTTCTCAGGAGGTTAGTTCATCATATTCCCAGCATAATCTTGGGAATGCAAGTCCATCTAGCATACCACAGTCTACTTCAGCTTCTAGCAGGTAAGAACTACCAGTTCTGGTTAATAAAATTGGTTTTCTGTTTTTTGTTTTGGTCCTCCTCCCCTCCCCCCAAAAACGATTAACATTAGATTGTAGTAGTGGTAACTAGGTCTTACTCATCTTAGTATCTTTCTCACTACCTAGCATAGTTTCTTATACATAGAAGGTAAATGTCTGTTGAATAAATGATAAATTGGTTTAACTTAGGGAATATTGGGCTTATTAGAATATTATTCTTGGAATCCATACTGTGAGACTCTTATAATTAGGTCTATTTGGTATTTAAGGAATTAAATATCCTTGGGTGACATCTATGATATGAATCAAATATTTAATGCCAAATTAAGTTTTATATTAAATTGTATTATACTGAAGCTTAAATATAATAAAGATTGAAGTTCTAGTAACACCTTAAAGTTTCTTAAGGTTTGCAAAACAATATGTGTACTATCACACTACAACAATTATCAGTCAACCAGCATTTATTCTCTACCTACTATGTAATAGATGCTGGGGATATGAAGAAAGGGAAAGTCTCTGAGAAGCTTACATAAATATATGAGGGAACTTTGGGAGGGAAGACCTTAGAAATTAGGGGTACACCAGAAAATGCTTCATGTAGAAGGGTGGGACTTACACTGAATATGGATGAAAATAAGTTTTAAGAAGTACAGATCATGAGAGGATGAATGGAGGCAGCCCAGAAATTCAGGAAGTGATTAGCACACATGCCCAGAGAAGAGAGAGTTATGTAGGAGGAACAACAAAAAGGTGGTTTGGCTCCTGCATGAAGCAGAGAAAGGTGTATTAAGGATATGCAGGTTGGTGCCAGGTTATGATTTCTTCCAAACAAAGAAGTTTACAATTTATTTTAGAGGCTGTAGGAAACCACTAGGATTTATCATAGAGGTGAGTGGCATGCTCAGAACAACACTTGAGGAAAATCACTTTGATAACTGTGGAGGGTGAATTGGAGAAGGGAGAGATTTGAGGTAGGGAGACCAAATAGGCTATTGCAATGGTCCATGCAAGAAGAGATGATAAGAATCTGAACTACAGTGGTGGTCTTGTGAATAGACAGAAGGGTTGGGGATAGAATTGGCAAGATTTTGGCAGCAGATTGCATGTGTGGAGTTAGGAATAAAGAATAATGCTGAAGTTGTGATGCTGGGTTAATTCTATAATAAAACCAAATTAGGTATTTATTTTTAAGTTACAAAGTTTTTCAAGTAACTCAAATTATATTCCTCACATCAAGTAATGTTACAAAAAGTTAAAAATATCTAAAAAACTTAGGACTAGAAGAATAACGTTTTTCCCTACTAGAAATAGGGAAGTTTGGAAGAGGGATAGGCTTGGGGAAAAAGATGGTGATTCATGATGAGTTTGAGGTGCCTATAGATATCCAATAGACATTTGGCGATGTGAGAGTGAAGCTCAATAGGGAGCCCAAGCCTTGAGGTATAGATCTGGGAATTATCTGCATAGAGATGATAGGACACCAGTTGAGAGGGTGAAGAGAAAGAAAAGGGCCCACGACAGAACTTTAGAGGTGTGAGATGGAAGATAATCTAGCAAAGGAGGTGGAAAAGAAGTGGTGAGACAGGAGGAAAACCAAGGGAGAACAGTGTCAAAAAAAACCCAGAGAAGAGAGAATATCCAGAAGAGGAGAGGGTCAGCAGTGTTAAATGCTGCAGAGAGGTAAAGTATAAGGATCGAGAAAAAGCCTTCAGATTTTGCAATTAAGAGATCATTGGTTTGCTGGCTTATGCTTATTTGTTTTGCTTGACTGTGCTTATTTGTTATAAGGGTTTTTTTTTTCTTTCTTGGATTTTATTGTAGGGGTTGGGAGATTGAGGGGGAGTAGCATTTGTAATGGTAAAGAAGGGCTATTGAAACATTTCTAAAAGTACATAGGAAGTAACAGAAGGACTGTTTTGAAAGTATTATGTGGAATGATGGACTTTTAAGGAAGCAGGTGGTACAAAATGGAGATTCACAGTTTTGAATAGAATATTTTGTATTGTTTATGGAAATACTATTTTTTGTGTTTAAGTTCATAATAAAATATAAGAACTTGGGGGGGGTCAGGTCTAGGGATTTGGGGATGTAGGGAATGGTAAGTGCATGGCCTATGCCCTCCATTCTTAATAATAACAATGATAATGATCTAGCATTGTACATATAGCACTATAAGCATTATAGATATCTCATTTTTATCCTTACGACAACCTGGGGAGGTAGGTGCTGTTATTATCTTCATTTTATAGATGAGGAAACTGAAAAAAACAGAGCTCAAGTGACTTGTCCAGTGTCATACAGCTAGTAAGTGAAGTGGAATCTGAACCAATGGCTTCCTGACTCCACGTCCATTGCTTTATCCACTATGCTACCTAGCTGCCTACTAGAGCACAAGGCAAAGTCCAGTACGGAGAGATTTGGGGGAAGAAGAGGAGACTGAATTTAGAGTTGGAAGGGACCTGAGAAAGTGTCTAGTCCAAACCACACCACCTCCACCCTTATTTTATAGGTGGGGAAATTGAGTCACAGAACAGTTAAGTCACAGGGTCACAGCTAGTAAGTGTCTGAGGAGGGATTTAGCTTCCATCCGAGTCCAATGCCATCTTTACTAGTCCTTGCTGAAGAGACAGAATAGTCTCTAAGAAGAACATGATAGAGATTCAGTTAGTGAGGATTAAAAGTATTGCCTTGCTGCAGTGAAGGCCCAGTTGAAATTAAGTGATATAAATTTGTAGTGGATCTGGTAAGTTTGGTTGCTTGACTTCCTTTCTTAAGCTCCCTTTGGCAGCTCCTGAGTAGGAGGGTAGGAGGTGGGTGTCAGGAATAATTCAGGTTTGGGGTTGGCTGGGTATGAGCGATGATTAGACAAGAGGGGGCAAGAAAGTTGAATTGGTTAACTGTAGGGTCTGTATTTCAAAGTGAGTAAAATGAAGTCATCAGGAGTGATGGCCTAAGAAAGTATGGAGGGGCATAGGGATTAGAGAGCCTGGTGAAGACACAGTATACGTTCAAAAGGGGTAAAAAAGCATAGGGAGAGATAGGAAGGCAGAAAGTTGTGATCAGAAAGGAATTTCAGAGTTTTTTAAAATGAAGTGAAACACTTCCAGGTCTGATAGTAAGAACAAGGTGGAAGGGAGGAGCTGAAGAGATTGAGGAACTAGAAGGTTAGGGTGTTTGAGTGAACATTAACATGTATGTCAAATTCCTTTAGTTTAAAAGCAAAAATTGGCACAGAGAGGAAGATTTTGTGAGACAGGTACTAAACCTAAAGAAAGGAGGGAGAATGACCTGTACAGTTCTGTAGAGAACAACCACCAGGACCTGAATTGGGTGATACATTTGGGTAGGGTGAATGTCAGAGAAAGAGAGGTTGCTGAATGATGATGGCAAATGGATAGTCTAGAAGTGGCAGCAGGAACCGAGTTATATTCAGATTCCCAAAAGAGCTGTGTCTAGAGGTGATATGAGAGAAGGTATAGAGAAGATGAATAGGGTTGTAGTGTCATCTGCAGGAAACCAGGTTTCTGAATTCCAGAAGAGCATAAAAGAGGTTTGCTAATTCTGGATCAGGGATTCTAGAGGGCACAGTGAAAGGAGTAAGTTGAACAGCACTGGGCCATGGGTGAGACGATTGGGGAGTTTGGGAATTAGATAACGGGAGGTGGGGATTGGGGAGGGAGATAGTTTACTTTTGGGCAGTGGGCAATTAGGAAAGTAGCAGATGATGGAAGTTTGTTAGCCATAGGGTTTCAGACTGAACAGAGGAGCAGAGGGTGGGGATAGTTCCGTGCTGGAGGTGACAGGTGAGTGTAACATTCATGGTTTCCACTCTACATTGGGGTGTTGGCAGGTCAGAGGTCCCATGTGCCCCACTTGTAAGTACTCACTAGTTTAGTTATTTTCTCTGATTTTTATTGGGCACTTCAGAAGGGTGTTTTAGAAAGTTGGTTGATATGTTTGGTGACATCAGCTGTTAAAATTGTTAACCCACCCTAACCCTTGAATTGATTATAATTTATATATTTAAGTTATGCACTGCATGTAGCAAGAGGGACAACCACTGGACAGCCCATATGCAGTTGTAAACACACTGTCAAGAAATCTGGAAGGCCTGAAGCATGGTGGGTGAATACACGTCTCCCCATTTTATGAAAAGAAATAGGAGTCACACAAAATGAAGAGGAATGGATGAGTTATAATCTGTGTCATTGGTGGGAGATCCCATTGAGATCACAGATCACCTGATAGAGGAAGCTTGGAAATAATGGGTTAGAGCTTCTAGAATCAAAGTCCTGTGTATATTGCTCCTTTGTATGAAATGATGAATTCTTTTTTTGAGTAGATACGAAAGGAATATGGATAACTTGACATCTGGATATAATTCTGCACAAATGCTACAGAGGTCTTTCTCATCTCCAGATAATCTTCAAAGACAGGCTGTGGTAAGCTGTTTTTATAATCTGAATTTTGTTAATCCACAAACTGGTTGTAGTTTAAATGTTCACAAAAAGTTGTATCATGAATTATTGTATTCATGTGTTTTCTCAAGTTGGAGAGTTAAAACTTTTTTTAGTTATTTCATAAATTTCATGACATTTAGTTAAATCAGTACACACACAGAGACATACATGTACATATATATATAAACATAATTTAGGATTGAAGAGCAGAACTGTATTTATTTTCCATTTGTTAACATAATTAACTATAACTCATAGCAACTTAGGCTTCTGTGCCACTTACTTCTTACATTTCTATTTTTCTTAATAGTATTACCATTCTCTGTCACCCAGTTTGAAAGCTTAGATTCCTCATTTCTTCTTTTATGTACCTTGCCTTCTATATCTAACCATTTATCGTAGTCTGTCAATTTTTCCCTTCAAAATTCCTAAAAAATTCTTGTATCTATTCCTTCCTTTACATTCCCACCCTCTGGTTTTGGCTTTCATTATCTTACACCTGCTATATTGCTGTAGTATCATAACTGATGATAAAGTCAATCCATCTTGCATATTATTGACATTATCTTAAACCATAGTTTATAGTGCCTTTACCTGTAGTCTATAGTTTCAGCTCCTTGTCTTGGCATTGTCTCCTTTACAGTCTGTCCCCAATCCAGGACATGTACACAAATATGATGTTCAGTGACACTTCTTTCCTCAGTGAGAAGTAATCTTTTTGTTCTGTACCTATTTGTTATACTTAGGCTGCTCAGTTTTATGTTGTAATATATTTGTATACATGTCTTAATTCCCCTTTGAGGTTTTATAAGCTCCTTTTGGACAGGTTCTTTCTTAGTCATCCTTTTATTTTTGTTAATGTACATAATTGGCACTTAAACATTTATTAAATGGACCATTTCAATTAGGATCATAACCTAAAATCTCTTTTGGCAGATATTTTGTATGGGCTTTGTTATTCCGTTGTGATGAATTATTTATCATATCTTTTTTTTATTTAATTTTTTTCTTTAAAATTTTTGTCCCCACAGATGAACAACGTTCTGTGGCAGCAGCAGGGATCATTCAGTGGGAAGTTTGTGCCTCAGCACTTGGATCAGCCTAGTTTTACACCCTCAGGGCAGCAGCATGGCCATTCATTTAACCTTTCTTCAAGCTCACAGTGGTGCCAGGATACACCAATGTCACAGAGAAAAACCAGGCAGAACTCACATCCCTACCAGTCAGATAGGCTGTATAGCCGTGAGCAGCGTTATGGGGATCATGGATCTGACCATCATTATAGAGGAAATAGAGATGATTCCTACTATGAAGAGAGGATCCATGATGGTTGGAGCCATGACTATGATAGCAGAAGAGAAAACAGTAGGGATGGAAAATGGCGCCCATCTCGGCACTAATAAGTATTGAGATGAACTTAAAAAAAAGGGGGATCAGATTAGACCCTTTTGGCTACGTTGATGTGGAAATGACTTCTTTGAAAAACTGTAGAAAACAGCTCTGAAAGTTGTTACATTTCCTTTTTAAAAATTTTTAACTTACCTGCAGTATAATACAGAGAGAGAAAAAAATGGTGGTTCCCGTTTTATTATATTAACAGCCTTTCACCTCAGGGTTTTATGAAGAGGAAAGGTTTTTTTGCAGAAAACAAAGTGCCACAACTCCTAATCATTGTAGTAAGTTTAGGAAAAGGGGTGGATTGTAAAGTTTGGTTGTATTATAAAGAAAATATTTTAATTATTTGTAACTTTTTGTAGTGTAACACAGTTGTCTTGGTAGTAAATCCTATTTTGGTGTGTGTGTGGTAGAATATACATCAAAGTTGATAGTCCAAAATGGCTATCTGTATTTTGTTATTAAACTGGAAAATATTACTTTTCAATGATCCATTTTACTGAAAATAGTATTCAGGCAGATATCCTTGTAAAATTTGGGGATAAATCATATTGGTTTAACTTTTGATAGAACTTAAATGAGTTCTGTAAAGTTTCTTTGAGTTTACCTGCATTGAATTACAGTGTGTGTTCATACATATACATCAGTAGATTTATTCTAAAAATTAAGAATTTTCATGAAATCATGTTTGATATGACTAAAAGATTACTCAGGAAGTATTAAATCTCTCCAAGGGTATTTTTTTTAACATTTAAAAGACCCTAATGATAATCACGTATACCCCCTTTTTCCCCCCCAGAAAGTTTTATCAGTGCATAAGATAAAGTGGTTATACATTTTATTGAAATATACTTTTGAGAGTGAGGAAAAGTCTCCCAGCCCTGCCTTCACTGCCTGAGTCACTTCAGTGCTTTTTCATTTTTAACATTTTTAAGTGCTCAGTGGATATGTAGGGGTGGTTTTTGTTTGTTTTTTGTTATGGGAACTGTACTTTGCTTGTCTATTTGATAAGCACTTGAGAGAACTTAGTCTTAAAAGTCATCAGATTTTAAGATCTTGTTTAATGAACAGTTTTTAGGTGTCAGAATTATACTGTTTCCATTTACATAAAAAAATAAACTTTTTGTAAAATCACATTTCTTCGAAAGTTTGGACTATTTTTGTTTACACAAGAACTGAGCCATTTCTTTCATATGTTGTTTCTTGTTATAAGACCTTTGCCAGGAAAAAGTTTTGTTATCTTGCCACTGAATTCGAGAAATTGCACATGAAAGATTAGGCCTGCCACTTTATTTCAGTTGCATACAGCAGTTAGTTGAAAGTTAAGGTTAATAATTTTAACTTAGTGTCTATTAGATATACCCTGAAATAAATGTCATATACTTTTTTAAACTTGGCTATTATTTAATCAATAATTCCAGCACTGTATACTAACTAAAAGATCATTTCTGCTCTCTAGGAGTTTAAGTGCAAGTGATTTTACTTTTCCAAATTTTCATATCATATAAAGCACTTTGTAAAACTTAGTATGTCAGCTATTGTCATCTGTGTAATGGAAAAATTTGGACCACATGTAGTATACACATATATGTATATGCATACCTGTAGAAATACATACACACATAAACAATATATAAACATGTATATAAATAAAAACTATAGGTATTATTCCCACTTTACAGATGATAGGCTCAGAAGTTAAGAGACTTGCTAATGGTACAGCTAATAATTTTTGGTGTCTGGATTTGAGCCCAGGTTTCCTGACTCCCAAGTCCAGTGCTCTTTCCACTACGCCAGCTGATGGCTCTGATAGGTGAGTTTTTGCCTTATTTGGCCTGCATCCAGTCTCCACTTCACTTCCTGGTCATCATCTTCATCAACTGCCCACTTCCCAATGCAATGTTGGATTCAGCCCCTGGGTCTTTAAGCTCTGATAGGTGAGTTATCACCTTTATCTTGCCAGGAATCAGGCCTCCATGCCCGTTCTCAGCAACTGTCTCTACCCCCTATATTCCTACTTTCTAGCTTCCTTTATATGTTGTCTTTCTCCATTAAGTGTAATCTCTTTGAGGTCAAAGACTACCTTTTTTTGACTGCTGCATCATATTGTCTCATTTTGAGCCTGTAGTGCAGTAAAATCTATAGGTCTCCCAAAAACTAGTGCTTTGCCACCGTCCTGTGCTGTCTTGCACCATTCTGCATTTGGGTGGTTGATTTTTTTTGACTCAAATGTAAGATCCTACATTTAACTTGATAGAATTTTATCTTAGGTTCAGGTATTGTTTTAACCTGTTGAAGTGTTTTTGGATCATAACCCTGCAAATATAATAAGTATGTCATCTATGTCAAGTCATTGATAAAAATGTAGCAGCACAAGACTGAAGGTATTTTTTTCTCTTCCCGTTACTGAAATCCCCAGTCACCCTAGTACAGTTCCTCATTATCACTGGAGTAGTGGTTTTCAAACTCAGATTTTAGGACCACTTCATATTCTTAAAAGTTATTGAGGACCACCCAAAGAGTTTTTGTTTCTATGGATTATATCCATATTTATTATATTAGAAATTAAAATGGTTTAGTATTGTTTTGAATATAGTTTTAGTCCATGGAAATGTATGCTGCACCACCCCTTTCTGTACCCCCTTCTCCACCTCTGCCTTCCTTTTGGGAACTGCTGCAGTAGAACAAGAAAGGAATCAGAGGTAACCAGAGAACAGTGGAGTCAGCAAACCAGAAGCCGTTTGCGGTTTGGGATTTTCTCCTCTGCTTCTTTAGATTTTTTTTTTTTAAATGCTGAATCTTTCCATAGATAAAAAGTGTTTTTGAGCTGTTTTATCTTCTCTGATAGGAGGGAACACCAGAACCACCTAATCTTTTTCCATCTAATCAGGAAGTAAAATAGAAATCTTCTTTGATCATTCCTGTTAGTAATGACCTTCAGATTTCGTGTAGCACTTTATTTTATATACCTGTAATACATATTATGTGTTAAAATACTTTATAAAATGTGAATTCTTAACATGATCACCCACACCTTGCCTGATGCGTTTTGTGTGATAGTGGCTAGAGCACTGAGCTTGGAGTGCTGGACCTGGATTCAAATCTACCCCTGACACTGTAACTTGGTGGGCAGGTCACCGAACCTCTCTGAGCCTTGGATGAGTCCCTGAGATGTTACCCTATTACTGTTCCCACCTCTGTGAAATCACAGATCCTTGAGGATCTGCTAGACTAAGCTTGAAAGCAAGGACCATGTGTATTTAAAATTTGGTCTCTTTTTTAGTATCCAGCTCAGAACTCCATGGCTCCTTTCTAACATTTTGCATTGAGTAAATAATAATAGAAGTTCAAACTGGGACTTCTGATATCCCTTCATACTCTGATGTAGAATTACTCCAAGTTTAGGTTTGTTTCCAGTCATGTATGTATGATAACATGGAAAGAAATTTAGAAGCCAAAATTGAGGTGAAAGATGATGCCTTGCTATAGCTCTACTTTTTGTGGTTTTTGTTTTTTCCTTTTTTTTTTTTCCATTTAAATGGTAGAACTACAGGATCCCTCACTTAGGCATTCCTGGACTGTTTTTTGAAAGTGCCCCTAAAGTGATTTTGAATGGTTGAATGTTGGCAGTCAGGAATCGATGGGAGTCAAAGGGGACTTCAAAATCCCAAGTCAGACAGAGAACTGAGGCAGATAAGTTGCTTCAGTTGAGTAAGGAGGAAGACTTACCTAATGTCTATGGACTCTGCTTAGCTGGCTGTTCTGTATTCCAAAAGAGCTTGGCCCAGAACATAAGACACTGCTTCCTGAAAGAATAGCCACACAGAACTAATCTTTGGCACTGATAGACTCCTCTCTTTCTAGGGATAAAATGACTGAGTTTTTCCATACTTGAAAGTTGTTCTTGTTGTTTGTCTTTTGTTTTTGAAGAGGACCATGGCATCAAGAAGGTGATGCCATGGCTTACAAGTGGATTGGATTTAAATAAGGGAGGGCAAGTCAGCAACCTCACTTTTTCCTCCAGAGATATCTGGGACTAGAGGCAAGATACAGATAAGGATAACTGAAGATGGCCCCAGATGCAGAGGGAGAGCTTGACTTTTCTAATGACAAGGTCTTTCCCAAGCCTCAGTTTAACTGAGGCAAAGCCCATTCAGTGATTCAGGCTAGGTAAGAAATGAGACAAAGAGAGGGCAGCTAGGTGGTGCAGTGGATAGAGCGCCAGCCCTGAAGTCAGGAGGACCTGAGTTCAAATCCAGTCTCAGACCAAACACTTGACACTTACTAGCTGTGTGCCTGGGCAAGTCATTTAACCCCAATTGCCTTAAAAAAAAAAAAGAAAAGAAATGAAACAAAGAATGGCTTCTTCTACCTAGTTAAAAAAAAAAAATCAATCTGGAAGAGAAGACTCTCAGGGTTTCTGGCCCAAAACTGAAACAGTTGCTATTTACATTCACTCTGAGCCATATGGACTCAAACAATGACCAGGTAGGACTTGGTCTTCGACCTATTGTTGGCCAATCACTGAGAGCCAGAGTGATTTGATATGGCTATGAGAATGACAGGGTTATCTCATTGAAAGAGCTAAAATCTAATAAACCTCTATGCTCTCAGGCAAAAAAGCTGGTGACTGAGGCCACTCCTTTTTAGGGAATAGTCCCTCATCTAAGCACTAGAAACCTAGTCCTAGAAACCTGAAACCTAGAAGCTTGCCGCAGAGAGAAGCTTTCTAACTGTATATCTAGCAGATCACTACCTGGCAGAGATGAGTCTACCAAAGGTTTGCCTGGCCCATGACACTGTGCTCTGGAGGGGGGTGGGTCCAGTGGGAGCAGCAAGAGGCCATCACTAGAAAATATTGAAAGGGTGAGTTGCCCTTACATACTTTTGCCTTGAACATGAATTATCAGTGTGTGCCCCTCCACATGCATGCCTGGGCCATGAGGGGTCCCCTATGTGCATGTCCTGTCTTTCAGGTTTTTGACCTAGGAGTGTCCACCCTTCTCACTGATGGTGTGGGTTCTTGTGGGAGAGGGCTCTGACTTTGAGAGGGAAATATTTTATTGTTACTTTTATTACAATGTTATTTCACTGAATTCCTTTTAATTTGAGCTAATCCAATCAGTAGTAAGCTTCTCCTGATTCTTCCCTTTTCACCATCTCTGCCATCCAAGAGATCATCCAGCATCTGAGAGGCATCATGGTGCAGTGGATAGAACATTGGACTTGGAGTTAACAAGACCTCCTTGGACAGCTGAATGACTCTGGGTCAGGTAAACTCTAAGTCTTAGGGTCGTTCTGTAAAGTGCGAGAGTTATCTGATGACCTCTCAGGTCCCTTCTAGCTCCAAATCTATGGTACTATAAGATCTGAACTAGAATACCACCACCCATGCTTGTTGTGTAACCATGGTCAATTTATGTGGTAGCAGGTATAGGTTTTGTGGGGAAGAGAAAACTGAAACTTTGTTGTCTAGGCATAGTTCAGCTGACAGAATTGAAGGGAGTGGGGCTTAGTCTGCAGAAGAAAAGATTTAGCAGGGACAAGATCAGTGTTCTCAAATTTTTGTAATGTTTCCATGTGGATGAGGGATTAAATAGCCTAATATTACCTGGCCCCAGAAGGCAAATATTTAGGACCAGTAGGCAGGAGTTAGAAAGAGAACTGCCTAATAAGAGCTGCCTCAGAGAATAGGTTGCCCCCCCAAAATGTGAATTCTTCTTTAGAAGAGGTCTTCAAGCAGAAGCTGCATGATTGCTTATTTGGGATGTGGAGAGGCTATGGGGGAAAACCTTATAAGCAAACACATCTAATTAATAAATTAGAACTATGAATAAAAGACTCCTAAAGAAAAAAATCTCTGCCCATCAAACAAAAGAAACTGTTCAGAAACATTTGTGCAAGTCTATCTATCTAGGTGTTGCAGTGGATAGACCACTGGGCCTGGAGTTGAGAAGACTCGAATTCAAATCCTGCCTCAGACACTAGCTGTGTGACCCTGGGCAAGTCGCTTACCCCTTTTTGTCTCAGCTTCCTCATCTGTAAAATGAGCTGGAGAATTAAATGGCAGATCATTCCAATATCTTTGCTAAAAAAACACCAAATGAGCTTATAAAGAATTGGACACAACAGAAAT